TTGATGTGAGTACACCGTTCTAAAATGAAGAAAAAAAAGTATTGTGCAATTAAATATTGCACGCACGAGCATGGTACACTTGATGATATTTCATTTTTTCGGTTAGTTGTTTTTTTTTTGTATTTGTTACATCCGATTATAGTGCGTTATAGTGATTTTAGTGCGTTATCGTTGTTTCCGGTAGTTTCTGGTTGTTTTACATGTGTTTACATTTCAAACCTTTTGTTTCTTTTAGCGTACCTCAAATAAATACTTTAAAATCCAAGTGGATTGATGTTATTTCAAAACATCAGAGAGTGAGCTCTTCTTTCATGATATGTGAACGTCATTTTAAATCTGATGATTTTCGTACGAACGGAGCAAAAAAGAGATTACAATTAGGAGCAATACCTTCATTTTTTGATACTGAACCACCATCAATAATTGATCATGCCAGCATTAAAAACACCAGCATTAAGACCAAACGAAAATATTGCAAAATTAAACATTGCAAATATGAAGTCGGAACAACAGACGAAAAGATTTTATTCTTTGGGTAAGATTGATTATTTATTTGAAACAGTTTTTCACGGTTTTTCATCTGAACCAACGAGATAAGGTTGGTCAGAACGTAAATTATCCAAAATTATCATGGACCATTTTGGAATTTGTAGAGTGCCCGTAAAAAAAGCAATTGGTGCAAGTTGGATAAAAGCCATTAGTCGGCATCAAGAATATGATTCTAGATATGATTCTTATTCAAAATATACGATTTGCGAACTGCACTTTTCACCAGATGATTTTGTCGAAAAATGTGGAAGAAGAACCATCCATAATCATGCTGTTCCATCAATTTTTGTGTACCCCACTTCATTAGAAGATAATTGCACATTGAAGCCTGAAACACAAGATATTAACAACAGAATGCAATTCACTTGCAAAATTAAGGGATGTAATAGTTGGAAAACCATTCGGAATGGGAGTGAAACATTGTTCTTCAAGTAAGAAAAATACTCTTTTGAAAAGTTTTTCAGATATACCCGATTTTTTTAAAATTGCTATTTTTGTGGTTCAGCCGGTTAAGCTGACGTATGTGCACTTCGATGCACTTGTCTGACAATGAAAATTGAAGAATACAAGTGAATGCAGGTCATTGCAAGGTTATAGATTTTCATTCGGTTTCACTATATTTTTATTTATAGGTTACCATTGCAAGGCCAAATAAGAACAGAATGGATCGAAGTAATTTCACGATATCAAGAACATGACTTTTATGGTTATTGTATATTATGCGAGCATCATTTTAAAAGGGAAGATTTTATTGAAGATGGTGGCAGAATAATTCTTCGAAAGGGCGTCGTTCCATCGGTTTTTCTACAGCCACAAGTAAATAACGATGGGCTGAGTAATGCTGAATTTCAAGTTTCATCGGTTTCTTCAGAGCCGCAGCCAGAAGAAAATTATATTGAGCTTAGTAATACTGAACTTCATGGACTCGCAGAGAATTGCGACGGGGAAATTGAGCCTGCATTTGAAGCTATCAATTTTATGGAGCCAGTGTGCAAGAAATGCATTGATTTGAATATGGAGCTAATGAAAGCTAAAAAGATGATATCTTTTCTACAAAAGAAAGTGTCGACACAAAGAAAGACGATTGAGGACAAAAATAAGGAACTTGTCAAGATGCAGAATGAAATATCTAAGTTGCAGGCAGAAGAAGAGGCACGTTAAGTATATTTAAATAGAAATAAGTATTGTAATTGTATATATCTGTATATATTGGCCAATGTCACAATTGTATATATAAATAAAATTGAATTTAGTCTGGAACAAATTTTGAATGCTTACTCCGTTTGCATTTCAATTTAACTCTCGGTGCAGCGCGGTGCAGCGCGGTGCAACGCGGTGCTGAACCTCCTCAATAAGCTATGAAGCTATAATTTTCTATAGTTACCAATTGTTCGTGAAAATATTGGGGAAATTTTCGTTCCATCTATTTGTACCTATGGGTTTGGACATAAATTTGGCCAATTTGCATCAATTTGAACTTTCTCAAAATTCAATAATTGTTTACAGGACGCATCAATCAAGAGTATAGTAGGGTGTCTTACTGCAAAAAAACGGATGACAAAATACGACGAATCAGTCCGAATTTTCAGTCTTACATTGCATAGTTTAAGTCCCAGGGCATATAATTACTTACGAGAGAAATTTCACAGCAACCTTCCACATGTCAGTACAATCAGAAAATGGTATGCTAATAGTCGTTGCAACGGAGAACCGGGGGTGTCTCAAGAGAGCATAAATACGCTACGTAATTTAGTGGAAGAACACGAGGAAGAAGTTTATGTGACGCTGTCTTTCGACGAAATTCATATCAGGCGCAATTGTCAATGGAGTGACGTTCAAAAGAAATTTCTAGGACAAATAACGTATGGTTCAATACCACAAAATGCACAATATCTGCCATGTGCAAACAATGCGCTTGTATTTATGGTGAATGGAATCAATTTGGATTTTAACCTCCCAGTCGCATTTCATTTTATAAACTGCCTACAAGCTCATGAAAAGGCTGCGTTGCTCATTATAGTATTGAAAGCAGTTCGGCTTAAAAGTTGTTGGAATAATTTTCGACGGATTAGTTCAAAACTTCACAGTCTGTAGACTGCTGGGAGCTACATTCGACGTCCAGGCAAATTTTAATCCTTTCATATTGAATCCTTACGACGGTGAAGAAATTTTTATAATCCTAGATAGTCCGCATATGATCAAATTAATTCGCAACTGTATTGGAACGAAGAAAACGTTATACCACACTAATGGCACGATAATAGAGTGGAAATATTTTGAGGCTCTAGAAGAAATGCGTGCAAAATTTGATACTGTTACGCATAAAATAACGAAACAACACATTTTGTTTGACAGAAATATAATGAACGTTTCGCTTGCAACACAATTGCTAAGTGAGTCAGGAGCAAAGTCTATGGAAACATTTTCAACATTGCCCGACACAAAATGCATTTTCGAAGGATGCGAAGGCACAGTTGACTTTTCACGCAGGTTCAATAACGTGTTCGATATATTCAACTCGAAATCGGACTCCAGATGTAATAATATATTCAAAAGTCCATTAAACAAAGACACCAAAGACCAGATTTTTGCTTATTTGGACGAAACTGTGGATTACATTATGAACCTGAGAGTTTCATCACCTCAAGGGAAAAGTGTCCTGAAAATTCGAAGAAAAACTGCATTCTTAGGGTTCATCATTAACATAGTCAACCTCAAACAAATTTATTCAAAATATGTCGAACCTAATAAAATTAAGATGTTAGAGACCCAAAAATTGAATCAAGACCCTCTTGAGAATCTTTTTGGCCGCATTAGGACCACATGTTTAGGTAAGTATTGACTTCAATATAGAATATTCAAATTGCGCTTCACCAGCTGAACCAGCGAATAAAACAAGAAAAGACTTTAAATGCTTACGTACTATGTAGATTATGAACTGTTTTTGCGATTTTTATGGTCGAAGAAAATAAAAGTTCAATTTTAACGTAACATGTAAACATTGACTTTTTCGATTTCATTATATTACTGATATTTTACTATATTCGATCGGTTCAGCCCGTTAAGCTAAAGTTTTGCTGGTACTTTGACATAATCGCGTTGAATTTAATTGAAATGTAATATAGATATATTCATATATATTTGAATACATCTTTTCTTTTCGGTTAGGAAATAATGACAACCCGACAGTTGAGCAATTCCGTGCAGCATATCGTAAAGTCATTTTGGCCAAAGAGCTCACTTGTTCCAGTTTATCGAACTGCGTTGACAAACTAAATATTCTACATGTCCCATCAAGTCGTACGGAAGAAAACAAGGGTAGTACGTCAGAATGTATAGTAAGAGTTGATGACATCAATAGAAACACAGGAAAAAGCAAACTAAAAACAAATGCTGCTGCAATCGATAGTATCGATAAATTATTAAGTGAATGCGACCCGTTTACATTTGATGGCTCAGATATAACAATTTCATATTTGGCTGGATCCATTGAGAAAAAAATTAGGTGTACAACGCGTATCAGTTGTGAGGAATGCCAGCTAATTATTCAGAATATTTTTAACCAAAACTGGAAATGTGATGACTCCCACGTGACAACAAAAAATAGCCCTATTCCTTGCGAGAGCACTATAGCCATATGCAGAATCGCCAATGAATTATTGAGATATCATGCTTTCAAGATTGATTTCAAATACCATAGTTTGTTAAGAGACATACTAAATAAGATAGACACAGAACCCATTGATTTTTATCCAGAAACAGATTTTTCCCATGACCTGCAACATAAATTGGATGAATTTATAATTGAAGAGTTTATCCGTTACAGAGCAACATATATTGCTCAAAAAATCACATTAAACGGAAAGCAAAAACTGTTACGACGAAAAATTAGAAAAATTGTTCACTTCGCCGGCCAATAGTTTAAAAAGCTATTGATCTGTTCACAGTAAATTAATAACAATAATAAGCTGAACCAATACGATTTAAATATAAACAAGTCTATTGAGTGATTATCGGTGATTATTATTTCAATAAATATTGAGAAAACAGACAAACTTTCGTTCAATATGAATTTATGATTCTTTCTCCGTCCTTCGCTAAATAGCCCTTGAATAAATTTCAATGCACATGCACATGTTGATGATGCTGGATGCTTCACTTGCTGAACCATCAATTTTGAAATTTAAAAAAATATGATCATTCTTTGCATGAGAACGCGTAAAAGCCACGCAAAATCACACAAAGAATGTTCAAATTTTGTCTGTTTTTCATTCATTTATTTAATTTTTTTTATTTTTTTACAAATAGTTACTTAAGTTTATTAATTTTTTTCTTCAAAGAGGCGATTGTTTTTTCGTTGCGTTTGAACTTTGTTTCCAGTGTACTAATTCTTTGGTCGGCGTCGTCTTTGTCATCGAGAACAGAAACTGAGTCAGGAGTTATGTTCACACCTGGATGTTGTGTGGACGCATGGCGTTGGAGGGAGGCGAGACTCGTAAAGGCTTTAGAACATTCATCACAAACAAATCGTTTTCCTTTATGTACACTGTTAATGTGAGCGGTGAGGTTGGATTTAGTGCTATATGCGGTGCCGCAGAAGGAGCAAAATAGTTGCTGTTCCAAATCTTCATTCGAAGCAGATTGTTCTTGCTCTGAAAATTTTCGTTTGGGTGCTTTACGTTTGAGAGTCAATTCGCTATTGTCTTCACTTGCAAATTCGATTTGCGTTTCAATATTTTCGTCATGTCCTTGATCAGTGCTTTCTTGATTGGTACCTTCTCCTCCTTCCAAAGGTTTCTCGTGGCTGTTTGGTTCTTCACTTGCAAATTCGATTTGCGTTTCAATATTTTCGTCATGTCCTTGATCAGTGCTTTCTTGATTGGTACCTTCTCCTCCTTCCAAAGGTTTCTTGTGGCTGTTTTGTTCTTCACATGCTAATTCCACTTCTTGAGATACAATATTTTGCGAACGTGTCGCCAAGGTGT